ATTTACGGCAAGATAATTGAAATTAGAGGTTAACATTAGTGAATTTAAACAAAGTGAATGTAAAATGTCTTGTAAATGATATATCTTTGAAACAATTTTAGACAGTAATCAAGTACCACTAAAATCGTATCTTGAATATCATATTGCACTTTCAAAAGTTTGAAATTTATTTACATAATGTCATAAAATTGTAAAATTGAATACATAAAACTTTTGACATCAACATAAAATAAAATACTAAAAGTTCAACAATCTTAATATCAAACCAATAATTAAATGGGTTCTAAAAAATAAAAAAATAATAAATAATAAAAATAAAAACTTGGTGGGCTTCTTTCGCTTGCAAATTTGTCAGCCCTCTTATGTCATAATTGCTATGAACCATTAATTTCCTGAAAGGGTATGAAGGGAGGTTTGAGACAAAATCTTAATAAGCATATAAGTACATGGATTAATATTTGTACAGAATTTAAGGAACTTCATACATACATACTAGTGAGACATAAAAAATCTATACCGAACATAGATGGTATGAAACTTTCATGTGTAATGCTACTATACTTCGGTATAAACTTAGAACATACATAAAGGACCTCATAATCAATGTTCTAAAAATATCACGTACGCATATAATCCCATAAGAAAAATACTTATACACTTACCATGTCTTATGAAAATGATAAGAAAAATACGAAAATATTTGGGAATTCGACTCTTGACATATGTACTAAAGAATATACTATATTTGTATTTGTGTGGATTTCATAGAGTAATGAATGTACCTGAAAATGGGACATATGATGCCTATTTATAGGGTTTTCAAGCTTTGAGAGTTCTAATTCAATTGTACTTTGAATTTTAAAGTGATAAAATCTTATCATTATCTCAACCATATTTCAGCTATTGGGATAAGATAATGAATTTAAAATATATATATATATATATCTCTATAATTTTTAAAATTAACTAAATTATAGATAAAATCAAAATATTATTTTTATGATTTAATAATTCAATTTTAATTGAAAACGATAACATTGAAACATTATCACAATCATCTTTTATCATTAAATAAATAAAGATAAAATTAAAGTATTATCTTAATAGGGATTTGGTTTTTATCTCAATCATTTAAAATTTCAATTCAACAATAAAATTTTCACAACTTTAAGAAATATAAAACAAAAAGGTCATCTTTTATCATTAAATAAACAAAGATAAAATTAATGTATTATCTTAATAGGGATTTGATTTTTATCTCAATCATTTAAAATTTCAATTCAACAATAAAATTTTCACAACTTTAAGAAATATAAAACAAAAAGGTTGGGCTAAAATATCAATCGTGTCTATTTTTCTATTGTTTTGTGATGGGCCAAACCTAAATTAAAAAAATTAGGCCATAGGTATGGATATTACATTTATAATATTAACCTTCTATAAAATCACTTTCACTTCCTTACTATATATCTCATAATTTCTTCTTGGTCCCTTTTTCAATCTCCTATCCATACCTTAATTTTTCTAGCTTATTTTGTACTTAAGACGCAAAGTCTTGTAAGAACTAGAACATTGCTGCAAAACATGTATTTGAGACTTAGCAACACCTAGTTGCACGTCTTTTAACTCTACACATCGAAAAATGTCAATAAAGAAAATTGACTCTTCACTTTGTAAGTCATATTAACCTTTAGAGTTCACAACTATTGAGGAACGATTAGTTTGAGTTTACTATCCATTTGGAAAAAAAAAATGTGATCAACTAAAAATGTCAACACTAAGTTAACCATCCCATTTTAGTCACATTCGAGAACAAGATCATCTATAATAGAACTTATCAAATCAAAAGTTCAAGTACTAGAATCTATCTTTTTTTAGGACTAGACAAAGTACACGATCTCTATTCTCTAGAGTAATATGACCCACATTACATCTTCTATTGCATGGTTGATGTTCTCTAAAACATCATGTTCTTCCAGTACACCAAAAACTTATTGTACCAAATGTCGCGGCAGTTAGCTTATCATCTTTGTAAAGGTCAACAACTATAGATTTTTAATGTCATAATCTATCAAATTTTATAGACAATTATTTTTAATCGATGCCCATTTATGCACATATACTATTTTGCATTAATTCAAATTAACATATATGATAGTTAAAATTAAGCATGGAATCGAAATGTTCACTATATTCTCAATCATCATCCGCGGATCCTATTGTTTTACTATCATAAACTTAATTTCATAATACAAAATTCCATAAGTTTTAAGCAAAAATTATATTAATTCTTCTGACTTTAGAACTATCACTCAGTAAATCAAATAATTTTATGTGAGATTTTCTATAAATTTTCTAATCACCGAACCATCACTCAATTGATAATCAATATGTCTAAGAATTTTAATAATTCTACCGATCTTATCATTTATGAAATTCAAGAATGTTAGATATCATTTAATTCAATAAAGCAATTCCATAATGTGCAATAAATGCATAAATATGAACATTTTTCTAACTATGACGTGCATCGTTATATCAGAAATTAAGTCTTCTTGAAATAATTTCAAATATAATCGAGGAATAAAATTCAAATCATTTAATTATCATATAAATTCTCACTCTCACTTTAATCTCTGTTACAATATAGTCCAACAAATAGAAAGTGACATCCGACTTCTCATATTCTACTTATCATAAATAAAGTCATGAAGATATTTATGAATTTTATTAGTTTATGTTCCTTTTTTTATTATTTTGATATGCATTTAGTTTTTGACATATTTTGTACGCATAAACTTTTAGCCACATCAGACTAAACACAAAAAATAAGAATATGTCGTAATGAATTGTGCAATCACAACAAAATCAACACCACTCAAGAATGTAAGAATATGGTATTATTTAAAATCAGAAAAAATTTGATACTAAGATCATATTTTTAGACTTACATTTAATTTTCAAGAAATTGTTTACAAACGGATGGATTAAAAATATTTTCAAATTATTTTTCAATCTCATAAAAATTGGAGTATTTTAAAAAAAGAAAATAAATTACCTCGGGTAGTAGGATCCTTAAATAAATATTCTAGATTTAATATAAAATTTCAAGATTTTAATTAAGTCAGAAATAATTTTTTTCATTTTTGAAAATGTATTTTAAGCATTAAATACATAAAAAATACATTAACAATCTGAAAATATAATATTTTTATGCTAGAAAATCCAGAATAATTCAAGGATAAAAACATTATTTTCAAAATTGCAAACTAACCCCTCGCTCCCTCTCGCACTGCAATATGTGATGCATGCCCACTCGTAGGGATGGCAGTGGACCGAGCCGAGCCGAGCCGGCTCAGTTCGTTAACCCACGAGCTCGGGCTCGGGCTCGCTCGGCTCGTTGCTCGTGGGCGAGCTCGGCTCAGCCCACGAGCTCGTGGGCTGAGCCCACGGCGGCTCGCGAGCTCGTGAATTTTTATTTTTTTATTTTTTATTTTTTTTTGCAAATTTTTCAAATTTTATTGATAAAATATTTTTTTTCCTACTTTTTTGGACGAGCCAAGCGGGCTCGGCTCGTTGGACGCGACCCCCCGCTCGGCTCAAGCTCGAGATCGTCATTTGACGAGCCTAAGCAGCCCACGAGCCAAGCTTTGACGAGCCGAGCTAGCAAGCCACGAGCCGGCTCGGCCCAATTGACATCCCTACCCACTCGCAGCCACATGCACAACCTCTCTATCCCCATTTGTTTTATTTTTATCATTTGTTCCACTAATTTCGATGTTCTAGGTTTATCTTTATTGTCATAATTATCAAATTTAATACTTAACATTGTGTTTGGGACACAAACAAAATGCACAAGGAGTAAGGGTGGAAAAATCTATTTTTTAATCCTCCTTATTATCTTAGATATTTAAATTTCAATCAAAAATTCGTAACTTCTTTGTTTGAAGTCTAAAATTTAAATTCTTTTTATGGTTTGAAAGTTAATTAAAATACCTTTCTAATCATATCAATATTACTGCATGCAAAGTAACAAATAAAATGTAGTAAATTTTTAAATTTTCTGCAATTTTAACAGGGATTTCAATTTTCTCCAAAAATATAAAATCAAAAATTCCAAAAATTTGTAGATATTAGACGAGAATAAATTGTTTTAAATTCTTATTTCATTTAGCTCCGTGTCTATATAAGTGATCACGATCCCGAATGCTGTTTATGATTTCACATTTCATTTTATGAAAAAGTTTCGATCCAAATAGCTTTCTTAAATTGAATGTCGATTATGATTTAACATTTGATCTTCAATAAGAAAAAGGTTCTTACACCAATCATCTCCCCCAATTTTTAACCCACTTTCAAACCAAGAAACCACCATTTGAACAAACCCTAAATTTCTTCAATTCAAGCTTAATAACCAATCATTGCTTCACAACCCTCATCCTATATTCTTCAACCCATCATTTTATTTAATGAAAGATTAAAAAAAAAAAAAAAAGCTTCACAACACATGTCTAGCTAGCTATGTCCACATGTATTACGTCTCAATTACGTGCAACAAGTGTTGCACTATTGATCGATATTGTAGGTTACGTGCATATTTTATTTCACTAGATAATTTTAGTGTTTCTCATTATAGGAACCTTTGTAGGTGTATCCATGTGTGTATGTGTCTATTAGGATGGTTGCACAAAAGCGAAATAAAAAGTTAAAAACCGAATAAACTTCTGGATTCAGTGTACCAACTACCAACTACCAACTACAGCTGAACATTATTTTCAATAATTTATATTTTTCTTTCCCGGACATTACTCAATCACTTCAAGAAATATGTACTAAAACTCTTTGATTTACTTATCTAAAAAATAATAATTATTTCTAATTTGACTATATAACAAACCCTTAAACATCTTCAACCTCCATTTCTCAGTCAAAAGTTACCTGTTAAATCATTATTAATTATTCAATAATCCATAATTGAAAATAGAGAAAATCAAAGGAAAGGAAGTTTAATGACTTCTACTTTTATAAAAGTCTTAATTTAGTTGTTATATGATCTCTATACATCTCTATAAAACAGTAAAAAAAAAAGAAAGCTATTGATATTCTTAATTAGGAGGTCTAGAGATTAACTAAAACGTTCATACGGCAAGGGATTTTCTCATTCTTGCCGGAGGCGGGCCAACCAGAGAGAGCTGAGGGCGCGGAGGCGATGGAAGTACTCTGCAATGGCCAGGAAACACCGTGCAGCTTGACGAGTGGTGAGGAGCTGGTGTAGCCGATGAAGGGTTTGAAGCCTCAGATGATCAGCCTGTAAGTTGATTTAATTGTAATTTAACATGAAAAAATAATAAGTACATTACAACTAATCATACATGAATGTTGACTTTGAAGGTTTGATTAATCAAATATGTATACATTTCTACGTTGACATAAGTTAAATAAGAAAACTTGTGCTGATATCTTTTCCAACTCTGATAATGATTGATCAGACGGTTCAATGATACAAGGAAAATAATTTATAAATATAAATTTGAAAATGAAACATTTGAGAATGTGTGCAATGTGTGTGGATGTAATTATAAATGTGATAAACGCTTAAAATTTGACAAAGGTGTTGTGTTCATTTACAGTTTTACCATTCTAAACATTCTACAAAAGAATAGTGACATTAATGATTATTAGAAATGATGGAGGTTGATTATGTACCTTCTTATAAATGAAAATATTTGAAGAATGTGGATTTTTTTGATGAAAAACTTATCAAGATTCCAAATAAATGAGCAATCTTGATTACGTAAGAAGGAAAAATCAGTAAATTAACAAAGTTAATTATCACTTATAATAACCTAAGAATTTATTGGTCTTATAATATTAAGTTATCTAGAAGTACAAAATCAACTACAAAAAGTTTGACAAACTCGACACTTGGCGGCCACCTGTTAGAGGGGAGGCTGTGGAGCCAACCACAAAAAAATAAGGTTGAACCCCAACCTTGAAAGCCTCCACCGCCCCACCCCTAGAGCTTTGTGAGGGAAGTAAATCACGGGATGTGCTCCAACAGGCTAGAGAACAAGAGCTGTCTGTACACTGCGCCTACAAAGAGTCCAATTCCATGTTTCAGAAATCGAATCCTATACTGCGGCTGTCAACAAGGCGTGAGATAATCTCACTCCTATCCTTTTCATCACTGGATTATGCTCCGAGGGGCAAGTAACTAATTGAAATCTTGGGATGTGGTGGGTGGTCTATATACTTGATCATTATATTTAGGTCAAACGGTTGTGAAAATGACATCATGAGCAAATATTGGCCTAATTAATTGAACTATGAGAAAGACCCCTTCTCCTCGAATGTCATATATAGTTGTTGGAGTTGGAGCATATATAATTGTTGGAGTTGGAGCATGTATACCTATAGCTACTCTACATAAAATGGTGCATCCAATTTTTAAATATGACATGAACAAGCTAGGTTCCAAATTTATTTTCCCATTCATATTTCTCGTAGACATATTTATTTATTTATATTATATTTGCCTCATATTGGGACTCGACTGAACGAATGCAATGACATGACATATGCACACGTATATACCTGACGAACAAAACCTTCTAGAGTGGAGAGCTTGTTGATGGCTAGAGCCATGGTGCTCATGAAGCTGTTCACATCTGAGGGAACGTTGAGTGGATCACAAATTAGGGTATCGGAGAGAGATTGATTCAGAGCTTGAAGCCCTTGTGAAAGGGCTTCTTCTGCCTCATGTGTAGATTGCTGTAATCCACATATTCCCATCAGCTGTTGCTCTGTCAATGGTTCAACATGTCCCGGGATAATCTACAATCATTGCACCAAACTAAACAAGGTTAGTTTAACCACCTTTATACGTATCTATATTTTTATATACACAATTTAATTACGCATGTAAGAGGTACAATATATGGTGTACAAGTTTATATATATATATATATGGAGGGAGAGAGAGAGAGAGAGAGAGAGGATTAGCAAGAAATTTTTCAAGGTTTTGGTTTTAATTATTCAATAAATTACCAAAAAAAGAAAAAAAAGGGTCTAGAAACATGAATATATTTTGCATCAAATGTCAAGGAATAAACGTGCAAGTCTCTCTCTCTCTCTCTCTCTCTCTCTCTCTCTCTCTATATATATA